TATGGTAAAGCAATATAAGCCACCACCTGAGATGCCAGTATCCCATACGTGCAATAGCTGGGAGTCGCACCTGCTCCACTTTCAATCTAGCTCCAAGCTAATGTACCTGGGAAGGCAGCGGAGGATGACCACGTACCTGGGCTCCTGCCATCCATGTGAGAGACCAGGATGGAGTCCTTGGCTCCTGGCTTCAACATAGTTCACCTGGCTGTGTGACCAATTGCAGAATCAGCAAATGGAATCTCTTTATCTTTTCTCTTACTTGTTGTTTCTGTCACTTATCAAATAAATAATTCTTTATAAAATTTAACTTAAGAGGCTTGCACCTTGGCACAGTAGGCTAAACACTTACCTGCAGCATCGGTTCATGTCCTGACTGTTCCACTTCCTACCTAACTCCCTGCTTGAGGCTTGGGAAAGCAGTAGAGGAAGGCTGACAATCCTTGAGCTCCTGAACCCACATTGAGAGACCCAGAAGAAGCTCCTGGCCTCAAGCATGCTCAGCTCTGGCCGTTGCGACCTCAGCTCCAGCCATTGTGGCCATTTGGGAAATGAACCAGTGAATGGAAGACCTCTCTCTCCTTCTGTATTTAACACAGCCTTTCAAGTAAAAAATCTTAAACAAAACAAAATAAAACAAAAACTATAGCCCTTACTAAAGGACATCTAGGGTTTTTACTAAGGCTGAAATCTATAGTCTTATATACATTTTCGCAGGTATGCAAGTATGTGCGCCTCCTAGGTAATATCCTAGGATTGTCAAAGATGTGCAGTTGTAACTTTTATAGACAGGGCTGTCCCTTGGCACAGAATGGAAGGGTTTCAGGACCCCCTACAGATGCCCCAGTCCATGATGTTCAAATGCTTTATATAAAATGATATAGCTTGTGCACGTAGCCTACGCATATCTTCCTGTACACTTTAAATCATCTTTAGACTACTTTTAATACCTAATCCATTGTAAATAGTTACACTGTATTATTTAAGAAATATAAGAAAAAATATGCACATGTTCAGTGCAGATGCCATGTTTTAAAACACTGTCGTCTCTAGTGGTTGAATAAGCTGTGGAGTTCACATATATGGAGAGTCAACTTTATCACTAACAGCCCTTCACAGAGTCTGACCACCTTACACTTTATAGTTTCAACACTGATGCTGGTGCTTTCTACTCCAAGCCCTTTCCACTACCTCTTATCAAACTTACTAATTTTATGAATCTGCTAACTAAAATATCGAATCTTCTTTCGTATAATTTTCCATCTCACTTTAGTTACAGAGCCTTCTGAGAGAGATAAAGTGCTGAAGATATGAGAACAAAATGCAAAGGATTTACTCATCAAATCTCAGATTTAAAAGGTCAACTATACAATAAGTGAAAAAAAATATTTACCAACTAGTAAGCAAGACTTATGATAAAATATTCTGAACAATTAGGAACAGTTTATTTCTCTTGAGTTTTAATATTTAATATCTTTTAATGTTAAAACATTAGTAACTTACATTCTAGCAAAAGGAACTTAAATAGACAGTCAAGCCTGTGAGAATATTTGTGTTGAAGATTCAAGTCTGTGATTTTTGGACTGCTGATTAAGGAATGACTCGATCTGTGAGACATACTCAGTGTGAGTGTAAATTACCCAGCCACACCACAGAGCACAGGTGTCCACCACGCTCTACCAACCAGCCATGACAACAGTACTGCCGGAGAGAACTCGTAGCTAAAGAGCTGATAAAATGTTCCTGATGATGACTGGTGATGGTTACCTAGATTTGTGATAAACTAAAGGCCATTATAGTGTGGATACTTTAAACAGGTGATGTGAACGACAGCACAAGCATAAAGCTCTCCTGGCTGCCTCAGTGTGCCTCAGGCATCACGAGCCACATACGTCCTCATGTGGCCTATCTTTTGGTCAAATCTCCAATTACCATTTTTTGGCACTTAATAGTTGGGCATCCCTAATCCAAAAATCCAAAATTTCAAATGCTGTGAAATCTGCAACCATTTTAGAACTAACATGATGCTACAAATGGACAATTCCATACCATGAAATTCTGTTCCGTGTATAAAATTATTACAAGTATTACACAAAATTACCTTCAGGCTATGTATATAAGGTATATATGACATATAAACAAGCTTCGTGCTTAAATCTCATTATACATATGAAACTACTGCAAAATCTGAAATCTTAAAACTTATACAAGGGATACTCAACTTATTACTTATTAGATGTGGGCAAACCTTCCCACATCTACTTCCAAAACCAAACTGAAAGTCTTCTCCAAGCAAAGGGTTACAGTTACTAAAATGCATATATATTCCTTAACATTTAACACGTGTAAAACCATGCTATCACTTTTTCTAAGTCCGAGCCCCCTCCTTCAGTGTCACTGTAGAGGCCCTTGAGTGCAATGCCCTAATTCCATCTCTCCCCTGGGCTCTGTGGCTTTTACTGCCCAATTTTGAATGGCACCATGATTTCTGGGAACACCAGATTAAAGCCATGTATTCTTGCAATGTCTCCCGCAAATATACCATTAGTATTACACACAGAATTCAAAGCTGGAGAAATCAACAATTCCAATAAAACTATTCTGACCAGTTTTTACTGTTTAACTATTTCTAACTAAATGTAGAAGAAATTAATCCCATCTGGGATTAAAAATGTGGGAAAAAAGCTTTTGGTTGTTACACTTCTGTTTTCTAGAGACTTAATGAATAGTAGATAGTTCGTAAAAGAATGAACTATTAAGCTCAAAAGGTGTACTGTTATTCATGAAACCAAGCTGACCGGCATGTATCCTCTGCTCTCCATGGGTTGTGCTTCTCCCAATTACACAAAAATATCACATTCATGTTGGTTTCTATGCCTTCAATCATATTCCTGACATATAAAGTCTTTTCTCTTTCTTCTTGGTGTCACTGAGAAAATACACATCTATGATAGGTCATTGCCTTCCTCTGTCACACTCCAGATGGTCCCCTAGTCCTCTGGGTTGCTATAATACTTGCAGTGGGTTTACACAATTTTAGTCTCCTTGTTCTTTGCTTATGTCCCTCCTTATCCTTGAACATGCAAGATATTCAGCCAAAGAAATCTTCCTAATACTTCAGAATCCATATAGAACTCAGCATAACAGCATAACATGGTGCAAAGAATAAATCTTCCAAAAATCTCTGATCAGTAAATAGAACAAAATTACAGACATCACAGCTACTGTCTATAATTTTCCTGCACTGTGGCACAGAGGATTAAACTGCCACCTGGACAGCAGCATCCCATATCAGAAGATTAACTGGAGCCCCAGCTGGTCTGCTTCAGATCCAGCTCCTGGCTAATGCCCTTGGGAAAGCAATGGAAAATGGCCCAACCATCTTGGCCTCTGCGGGAGACTCAGATAGAATTCTGGCTCCTTGGGTTGCCTGGCATAGGTCTTGGACTCCCCTCCAAGAATATGCCCTCCTCAGTGAAAACGGTGGAGCAATGGACACAGACCCTGATGTGCATGGAGAATATAGCAGCCCATTTGGTACCATAGCAGAAGAATGAGAACAGAGCAAATTGGACGAGCATTCCAGCCAAATGATGACAGCAAAAACCTGGATTAATGGAGGCTTGGGGCTGACCATGTCAGTCAATGGACACTGGGATGGTTGCATCATCCTTGGATCAGTGAAATTAACGGCATTTCAGAACTATCCAAACCACTTGAGCAGAACCCTCAGAACATGCACACACCGGGACCGTGGGTGGATATTGGGTGGCTGTCTCCCATTCCTGGGTACTGGGATATTTGGGAAGCCGGATGTGGCTTTCCCCTTTATCTCTTCCCTTCCCCCAGAAACAACAAGAAGGAAACAGCAAATTTGGAAATAATGATTTCACCAATGTCTCCCTAACCCTCGATCCTTTCCACCCTGATCAGCTATGATAAGAAAGACAGACAGACAGACAGACAGACGAAGGATGGAAGGAAGGAAGGAAGGAAGGAAGGAAGGAAGGAAAGAAGGAAGGAAGGAAGGGAGGGAGGGAGGGAGGGAGGGAGGGAGGAAGGAAGGAAGGAAGGAAGGAAGGAAGGAAAGAAGGAAGGAAGGAAGGGAGGGAGGGAGGGAGGGAGGGAGGGAGGAAGGAAGGAAGGAAGGAAGGAAGGGAGGGAGGGAGGGAGGGAGGGAGGGAGGGAGGGAGGGAGGGAGGAAGGGAGGGAGGAAGGGAGGGAGGAAGGAAGAGAAAGAATGAATTCTGGCTCCTGGCTTTGGCCTGGCCCAGTCTCAGCTCTTATGGTCAACTGGGAAGTAAATCAGTGGATGGAAGATCTCTCCCTCTTTCCCTGTTATTCTGCCTTTCTAATAAGTAAATATTTAAGAAATAAAGGACATCAAAATAAATATACATTTTCAAAGATTTATTTACAAAGACGGTAATATTTTTAATTAACTATGCTAAAAACATACATAGCTACTTGGGAAATGAAATCCTATAACACTTGTACTGTGTGTGTCACCACACACACAAAAAAAGCTGAGTATGAAATTGTTGCTATACAAAATATTTTATATTATGGACTCCATTTCTACATTTTAAAGTATGTGTAAGCAATTTCATTTATGACAAATGATCACAGGGCCTTATTCCAGAACAACGGTTTTCAAAGCCTTCTTTTGGTAGTAGAAATCTTTTCTCCAACAAGAGGTTAATTAGAATTCTACCATACAAAAAAGAAAAAGCAGAGCTCATCCTGAGGAAGTGAGGGAAAGGGCCTATAGTTCTGCCTGCTTGGGTCTCCCTCAAGCCTTCCATCCACTCCTCTCACTCCCCACCTGTAGGGCTCCCCGAAGCCTATCTGCTCCTTTAAGAACTACACCGTGCTTAGAAACACTCATGGAAAAAAATCTACCTCCTGCACCAAAGAGAAAAACACACACACACACACACACACACACACAACATTATTATTAATTTCAAATATCACTAAAATATAAAATTAGAACTTACCCATTTCTACTGAAAACTCTTAACCATGCTTTGAGATTTGGTCCCAACAAACATAAACAAGGCAGAGTGGTAAAGGTAGACAAAATCACTGCAAACAAAAATGTCTCCAACACCAACCTACAAAGAGAAAAACCGCTATTAATTTTTTTACAAAGTGTTAGAGGTACAGCCATATACATATGTAATCTTAGTTACACACTTAATATGAAAATATTTTCTTATACTTTACTTTGAAAGATATTAGTCCCCCCAAAATGACTGTAAGCCATTTCACTAGCAAAATGAGAGCCCTGAAAAGCAACCTAGCAAATTGTTGGCCTTTAATTATTGTTTTCAGAAGTATTAAAAACCAAAAGATCCGTTCTGACATTTCTATTGTAAGAAATCCCATCTCTACACATTAACTTTTTCACTAGAGTCTCTAGAACTTTCTCTATAGCCAGTAGTTCAACTTTAACTTATTTGGAACCACCAGGAGAGCAAGATTAAAGATCTGGGAGTCCCACCTACCAAGTTTCTGACTGAGGCTTGAGATTGTGCATTCTGCCTAAACGCGATGCTGCTGGTTGCAAGACCAGACATCTGAGAGCTATCACCCCAGATACGCATTCTAGGTAAGATTAGATGGATGCTACCACTTCCTAGACCAGGGTTTGTCCTCCCCATCTAGAAAATCCCCTCTCCGTTTTATGTGTCTTCATACAATCATGTACAGATTATGTAAGTATGTGGTACCCACAGTTGTATATATATCTATCACCACTCATTTCACTGTGACAACTGACCCCTGCTACACTGAAATTTGGCAATCCATAATAGACATTACAGAAAACAACTGTGAACTTGGTTTCAACCGGTCTGAAATTAAACCATCTGGAACAACTATTGAATTAGATTTTACATTTAAACTACAAACTCTGACTTATAAAGTACACAAACCTACAAAAATCTATCGACTCTTCTTAAAAAACAAAATAAAACAAAAACGTTTTCAGTAATTTCAGAGTCACATTCACCGAGAACTGAAATGTTTCAGGGCACTATAGTCAGTTCCCTACCGGCCGCACGGTAACTGGCGTGCTGCAGCATCTCCTCTCCCTGCTTCCAACACACAACTTGTTAACAGAAGGCTAGGCAAGCGTAGCATTTAGTAAATTAAGCTAGTCCACTGTTTGTGAAAATAACACTGGTGCTAACAAAGGACAATGATGTTGTTATCCTTACTTGACTCATTAAACATGTCTGAATTTTTCTCTAATTTCAAAAATGTCAGCCCAACGTTTAGTGAGTACTATAAAATATAAATGTGTAGGAAAATTCAAACTTACTCAATGAGCGGCGCTCCATATAGCACAAAAATTATATGAAAGGAGAAGCAAGACATAAGAAAGTAGATACAGCATTTCAGAAACCTGGCTACCTGAAAGAGAGATGAATAATTTGAAAACTCAAGAGAAGGTCTACAGAACAACGGGTTCTTCAATCTTATCTACAAATACAACACGTTCCCCTGCCAGAGGACATTTTTTAGCACTCTGTGTAAATGTGAATGTTCCCTCCAGTCAGATCACGTGTCCTGTGCCCTCTCACAGGCTGTAAACACACTCCAAGGTCAGGGTTACACGTATACTCTCCCGTACTCCACACTCGCCCACAACACTGAAGCCAACGGCGATTTCTGTGTCCAGGGTGTGGACTGAGCTATACTGTTAACCAACACTCAGGAAACAGTCATTGATAATAGAGTTCCAGGGTACAGAAAACCCCACAAATACATCACACTGATTACTATGTGATGAAACCTCAAATACCTACAGGAAATAATGACTTATAAAAATTAGTTTAAAACAAAATTCTTGGAAAAAGTACACCAACAAATTCTTTTTTAAAAACCTTTACATCACATCCAAGTTATTCTGAGCCACAGGAGAGAGAAAAGACCTGGATATCTACAAACAAGCTTCTTTACCTACTTGATTCCGAGCTTAGGAAACACTCCTTGGAAACCACATGTGTGGAGTGTACCCTAGCCCAAAACAGCACCAGAGTTCTGATGAGCTGACAGAGCATTTACACAGAGTGCTAAAAAATGTTAAGTGAGGACTTGGTTCACGGAAGAGGCAAGTATTATACTACAGTGACTATTCCCAAAAAACAGCCTTGTTCAAAACACCAATTACCTCGGAGACTGATTTTGCAATTATTGACAAACCCATTAAGTGTCCTTCAAAAATGCAAAGGTAAATGAAAACAAACTGCTGTGTCTTATAAAGGAAGGATTAAAGACAGGCTGCCACATGTAATCTTCCATGGTGGCATGCAATAAAGACTGGACAAATGCACAATGCTATGCTACCTGTGAAGCAGTGGTAATTCCACAGTTCCACGCATGGCAAGAAACTAATAACTATTGTGGGCATTCTTCCAGCATGTAAGTTTACTGACTAGAAAAAAATAAAACTTGGGAACTTGACTCATACACTTTTTTTTTTTTAAAAGAAACACTGGTACCATCCTCAAACTAGTTACCAAGATCCTATTATGGCATAGCACGTACAGCAACCCCCTTGAGTCACCAGCGTCCCACATGAGCACCCCTTTGGGTCTCAGCTGCTCTGCTTCAGATCCAACTCCCAGACAGTGGCCTGGGAAAAGCAGCAGAAGATGATCCAACTGTCTGAAGTCCCTGCCACCCAGCTGGAAGAACCAGAAAGAAGTCCTGAGTTCAACAGGGCCCAACACTGACTGCTGCGCCCATCTGGGGCAACTTCCGACAGGTGGAAACACTCCCGTCTCTGCAAACTATGGAACTCTGCAACTCTTTTAAAAGAAAGAAATGTGTTCTATTTTAAAAAGGAAGTAGTAGGCCTTACCTTGGGTGATGATGAACTTCTTTTAGAGGATGTATTTGGCTTCACGACTAAATACAACACTAGATTGAAAACGGTTACCAACACAGAACAGATGCACAACCAGGTCAAGTGAGTTTTCAATACAGAGAAATTCTCCAAGAAGAACGATGGAACAAAAGTGCTCAAGATAATGGAAAATATGCACAAAAGATGGGCATAGAGCAGCCTCTTGATGTCAGTATCTTTCATGGTGCTCTCCTGGCTTCGTCTAAGGAAAAACAAGGAAACAACCTCAGGCAACAGAGCAACTTTCCCCATCCTCCACGTTTCAACCTCAAAAAATCATCCATAAACGAAAGCCAACTTGCTGAGGATAATGGATTATTTCAAAACACCGGAAAACGCATGCACGTAAATGCCTGTGACAATTTAACATTCCATTTTACCTTTACCTTTTTTACAAATATGTCAGACTCAAAAGGACCCCTTGACTAATTTCTTCAGTATCTGTGACTTATTTGTGCCAGGAGTCACAGACTAGGGACAACTAAGTCATTTATTTGGCTTTTTTGGTGAAGATCAGAGATAAAAATCAACTGCATGGATTAAATGATCTGCCTCTGTTGGAAATGTAACCTATACAGTCTAGAAACCTCATGAATATTCTTTTAGCTAAATTGTTTTCTTCCCCCTCCCCCCTTTGCTAACATAGTACTTCACAGTGGATGCCAAGTGCTATTAAGGACAAACTTGAATAATTCAATGGCAGCCTCTGCAATTCAGAGAATTCAGGGCATTATGCTAAACCAAGGGACCCCAAGACTCCAGAAACTCCAAAATGACTGTATCTGTTACAGGAGTTGGATTCCAATCAAAAGTAGAACACGCAGGAAGAAAAAACTTTGTTTCTAAACACATCAGTAACCAAAGAGAGAATGAATATATTTTATCTACAATGTTAGGACTACTAATAGTCAACGTGTTACATTCCATGAAACACAAACTTTCTAAAAAACACAGGTGGGTAGGGAAGGATGGAGCTCAACAGTGTGAAAGACCAAAATCTCTTATTTGATTCATACGGTCATTTTCAAAGGCAAGTATTCCACTGACAAAAAAGTAAGTCAGAAGACCTGTTGCAAGGTCCCCTAAAGGAGCACGCGAGGTATCCGGAAGAGAAAGCGGGATGCCGGGAATGGACAGAGAAAGTTTCGCAGACTCTCCTCTGAGCTGCTTGGGGATCGGTGGGGCAAGGACATCGTAACTCCACTCTCTCAACAGACCCCTCGCCCTCTAGTGCCTTCCTCGGGGCCACCCGCAATCGTAGGGGGCAGAACCCGGGCTCCAGCGCTTCCTCACAGAAGGAAGCCGGGCAGGTGAAGTGTGTGCCCTCGCCGGGAACGCAGCCCCGCGTGCCCACGGGGACACCTGCCAGGCGCGCCCCGAGCCCGGCCGCCCGGGAGCAGACACCTGCGAGGGCTCCCAGCGCAGGAGCCGCGGACTACACCTGCACCCCACCTACACCTGCACCCCACCTACCGCCCGACCCTGTCCCTCAGCCGACCAGGACCGCGCCCAGCGGCGCTGTCAGAGTGAGGGAGGAGGGGCAATAGGAACGCGGCTGAGGCGGACCGGTCCATCATGCAGCCTTTGGTGCACGCCGGCCGGGAGGCCCGCCAGGGGTGCGCCGGCCAGGAGGCACGCCGCAACCTCGCGACTACTCGGGAAGACGGCGGAGGCGGCTGGCATTCCCGTCCCCGAGGCGAGTGCAGCCAGCGGGGCTTACCTAACGCTCCCGCCCGCGGAGGGAAGGAGACCTTCGGCCTCCCACCATCAGGCTTGACCGGCTGCCCCGACCTTGGCGCAGGCGCAGGTACGTGGGGCGGAGACTCGCCGCCGCACAGCCAATCGCAGAAGGGAGGGAGCGGGCCAACGAGGCAGCCCCGCCTACCCGCTGGCTTTCATTCCTCCCGCGGCGTCCCAGGCGTAGGATTGGCTGGAACGGAGGTCTCGCAGCCGGAAGTGGAGTGACGCAACCCGGAAGAGACCGTCTTCGCAGGCGGCAGTGTTGATGTTTTCTGGTGGCTGCGGCGTCTCCAGCGGAGAAGGAGAGTTTTCGTCGGGAAGATGGTGTGCGAGAAATGTGAGTCCAGGGGCTGCTTCTGCGGGACGAGGAGGGCTGTTCCGTTCCCCTCGGGTCTGCGGTTCTAGCCTGTGTGCCCCGCGGTCCTCCATGACACCCTGTCCTACCCGCACCCCAAGGCTGCTGTGTAGTTCGATTTAGTCAGTAGGTATCTCTCAGTCCCTGGTTTCCTATGTGTAAAATGGGAGTATGGCATAACCCATGGGGGGTTCCTTTTTTTTTTTTTGAGAATTAAGGGTAATGTCCAAGCAATGCCAAGTGCTCTGGTCCTCTCTGACGTGTCTCGCCAAGAGTGACAGCAGAGTGGCCCAGATGCTTCTCTCTGTAGATATGATCCCGTTTGCCGTTGTAGTCTTAGCTTAAAGCTTTGAGAAACATCACTTAAGATGCAATTCACATGCTATGTGATCTGTCCATGTAAATGGTGGAGATTGGTGTCTTCACGGAGTCGTGCAATGTCATGACCACATTTGGAACTTACCCATCACTTCAGAAAAGATGCATGCGGCTTTTTTGACATTGTCTACCTTTAACTCAAATCCTTGCATATAAGGTGTTGTTTGGACTTAGTTGTGTTTAAGTCTGAATTAAATAGCTTTGTATCAAAAGCCTCTTAGGAACAGCTCTTTAATCTGTATCATGGGCCTTGTCTGTAATTTGTGTTTAATTTGTCACTTGGGACACTTGCATCCCCTATTAGAGTGCCTGGGTCTGAGTCTTCAGGTGCGAGTCTGGGCCATTGCCCAGCCCCCTGCATTTAAAACAAATAAAAGATTTTCTTAAACCTTGAGTCAGTCTGCTAGCCCCTAACCCGGCACTGACAGGCTGCCACTGTAATATGATTTTGATCACATTGTGTACCTTGAGCATGCGGTGTAAATTGATTCCCCTTTTACTATTTTAACAGGTGAAAAGAAACTTGGTACTGTTATCACTCCAGATACATGGAAGGATGGTGCAAGGAATACTACAGGTATTCTTTTTTTTTTTTTTGGAAAATAGAAGTGGAATGAAATACAACCTGTGGATCATCCTTTGCCTTTTACGTTGATTTGTAAAGTGAGATGTCTTGTTTTTGAGGCATCTTACCAATAAAGAACATACTAGGACCCCTGGGATTTAGTATCTTCCATCTAGTTTTCTGTTACGTGATAGGTTCCTAATGTGATTTAAGCAGGAGACAGCAAACTGATTCAACATTTTCAAGTGTTGACTATGCCACACCTTATAGTGTGTATTTAATTTCCCCTTTCCTCCCTTTGTTTTTATCATCTTGGGGGGAAAAAAATCACTTGAACTGTTTTTCTCCTTCATTAGTGAAGTTTGTTTTCAAAGGAAAGAAAATGGGAGTTTCACTGGACTCCGTGTCTGTGCTCCTGAAGTGATGGCTCGTGGGTTTTACACTGGGTAGAGTAAATGTGAACTCCTCCCTAAAGTACTGCCTGGTGGCTGAGTCACTGTATTTTGTACAAACTTTTATTGTCTCCCTAATATTTTCTAAGTGACATCTGAAAAACATAGCTATTTCATGAGAGTTTAAGAATGTTTGGTATAAGCTCTTCTAAGGGTAGAAAGTCAATGAATGAACTTTGCAATGGATGACTAGCTATTAAATGTCCATAAATAACTTACATATTTTGATACAGAAAGTGGAGGAAGAAAGCTGAATGAAAATAAAGCTTTGACTTCAAAAAAAGCAAGGTGGGTAAGAGTCTGTAGGACAGTCATGTTGCTGTCCACTCACTGGAGAACCTGATGGTCACCACACTGTTGTGATGAAACAACATGAGCATGCAACTTGTCTGTTACAGCCTGCCAGGGAACACTGATCCTCCCCACTGGGTCAGCCCGTGAAGACATCAGACCTCTGTCTTGATAATTTCACCAGAAAACATGAACTAGCACATGGCCAATGTCTTTGTTTCTGTCTCTCTCTCCCCTCCATCTGCCCTCACACTCATCTCTTTGTCTTTCCAATAGGTAAAAGTAAAAACATCCAGAAAACCTTCTGTTGCCCACCCTAATTCCTTGCTTCCCTTCACAGCAGTGTTTTCAAAAGCCTTACCCAGACACGCCGTCAGTGTCCTTAAACCACATTCTTTCCTTCAGCCTCTGCTGTCATTTTATCCCCCATCATGCTGAAACTGCTTTTGTCCAGATCATGGGTGACCTTTAAAACAGATGGCCACTTCCCTGTTCTTATATTACCTGATCTCTACTAACTTGGTCTGACCACTCTATTCCCCTGGCTTTTTGGGCACTGCACTGGTTGTTCCTTTTCATTCAGGTGTCTCAACCCTTACTCAACTTTTTCTTTTTCTTATAAAGTCTCCAAAAGTGGCTTTAGTCTTTCTGATTTGAATTCAAACTATGCGTTCACAGTTCCCAAAGATGTGTCCAGTTCTGACCTCTCTGAGCTCCAGGTGTATATCTCATGGTTAGTTGAGTAACCTTAGTTGATATCTTTAACAGGACACTTGTTTTTTTTCCCCTCCCATCTCTTCACAGTAGCTAGCATTACTGTCCACTTTAGGTATTCAAGCCTGAAAGCTAGGATTCCTCACTGATTGTTACCTTTCCTCACTTCCCAGACCCATCAGCAATTTCTTTGAAACTATCTCTGAAACATTACTTGAATCTTCTGCTATTATGCTATTCCAAACCAGTTATCTCACCCTCCTTCTCTCTCTTAAGATTTAGTTAATTGTTTTGAAAGAGTTACAGAGAGAATGGTCTTTCATCTGCCGGTTGAATCCTGAGATAGTCACATTGGCCAGCGCTGAGCCAGGCTGAAGCCAGGAGCTTCATCTGGTCTCCCACATGAGTGACAGAGGGCCAAACATTTGGGCCATCTTGTGATACTTTTTCCAGGCCATCAGCAAGGAGCTAGATTGGAACTAGAGCAGCTAGGACACAAACTGGTGCATGTAGGGGATGCTTGCCACACCACCATGCCAGCCCCACACCAATTATTCATTACCTAAATACTTTTCTGTCTCCCTGCTTGTCTGATTTCCTACAGTTGTCTCGCAGTCTCCAGACTAGTCCCTGAAAAAGGTCATTGTATGTGATTTCTCTGCTTAAAACCCCGTTTTGTTTGTTGCTGTTGCTTTTTAACATGGAACCAAAGCTAAGCTCCCTCCCGTGTGCTTACATGGCTCTCCATGATGAGACTGTCACCCTCCCCGCCACCCACCCCCTGACTCCCTGTTGACCACACTTGCCCTCATTCTTCATTTAGTCTTACTCGATTTGCCACGCCTGCTTCCTCTGGAGAGGTTTGTGCACTTTGCTGCTTCCCGGGGTGCATCCCTCAGAACTTACGGATTTGGTTCCTTCTTATTATCGCTGGTGTCAACTGGAATGTCACCTCCTCAGAGGGAACTCTGAGCTAACATCAGACTAGCCTCCTCTGCTCTCCTCTTCCTCTCTGCCACATATCCTGCTTAAGTTGTCTCTGTAACACCTACCACTGTCTGAATAGCTTGTTGTTTTAAATTGTCTTGCCTTCCTAGAACATCAGCTTGAGGAGAGTAGTGGTGTTGTGTTCCATGTTCATCTTTGGCATATAGTTGGCACTCAATATATATGTACCAGATGTACTGTACCTATTTTGTAACATTGTCCCAAAGATTTAAAATAAAATAAAGCTTCCACTGCTTTTCACATCATAGGTGCTTATTAAGTAATATTTATAAAACATAGTAGACTGACTCTTCAGTGCAGTGTCACAGCATATATTGACAGTCATGACCATTCGGTTTTTTTATTAAGATGTTATTGGAACAGATTACTGGTTTATATAGTTCTAGTTCCTTTTGTTTGCAAACATGCTCAAGTATCATTAGAAAGTTGCTAGGATTTTGGAGTGCTCTAAGTATCTTGCTTTCGAAAGTATACAGCTATAGTGCATTGAACCCATGATGTTTATATCATGCACCATTATTACTTTAACAAAGAAAAAACTCTGCTAATTAACTGCAAGTTTTCTGTGATTGAACCATTCATTTTAGGATAGTAAAGTATGTTTTTTTTTACAAATATTAGTCTTCATACCTATAGGTCTAAACAAATTGAGTTTATTGAAAGGAAGATTTGTATCTCTGTTTGTTTTTTTACAGGAATAAAGTGATTTTGTTTTGGGCTTGGAAAATTAGCCCTTTGCAAGCGGGCTGTTGTACTATATAAAGGAAAACACCAAGTGTAGGACCGTATTGGTAATTCAGTGTGAGAATATTACTGAAAGTCACTTTGCAGTTTTGAATCAGAGAGCTGCCAATTTCAGGAGAAATGTTTTGGAATTACTTTGCACTGCAGACACTGTAAGATGGCATTTTTACATAGTAGAAACCTGTTGATCCAAAGTGAGACAATAAAATGAATATAATTGAAACAGGCAACCTTTAAAATATACATATCTTTTATTTTATTTTAAATTAAGACACATACCTATTTAGTCATTGGTCATTTGGTATTGAGAAAAGGCCTGGTATGAGCCTGCTGACAAGCTCTTTAGCATTTTCCTTCACAAATCATAACTGGTATTCATATATTTTGTTATTTTTTTTTTAAAGCTGAGACTTAGTGTGGACTCCTTCCACTTGTGACTTTGCCCTGGTTTTGAACGGTTGTCTTACATATTTGTAATTCAGTAGTGGTTGGGATGATCGAGCATTTACCCAGTCATCCTTCAGCAGTCACTTAGTTTACATGGAATCCATCGGTTTCTTC